CCATTTGTGAAATAATTCTATGTTCTTAGAAACGATCTGTTTTTTTTTTTAATCTGTACACGTTTCTTTATTTGTATATATTTATTTTAGAAATGTTAGGTTAATTGCTTTAAAGCCTATGGAATAGTCATTGTGTAGTAAACATTGCGTGACACGCGACTCCTCTGACTACTTGACGTACAAAACGAAGCAAAATTTGAATTTTCCTTTTTATCCTTTTTCCCATCTATTTATGCCCAACCAGTTCTTTGATAAAAAAAGGACAGGAGTTAAAACAGAACGAACAAGGGTAACAAAAATCTCGCGGATTTCTTGAATGCTCCATTTGCCCGTTAATTGGTTTTTACAGTGAAGGGCAACCTTTTTTCCTTCATGGCCAGGATAAGGATACCGACAGTTTTATGTGGCCACCAGTATAATTATACCGAGACTGTGCCTATAGGCAAGGCAAACCACCATCTTTTCTACTTATTCATGCGAACGATTAAACTTTCCCGCCCTTGCCAAAATTAGATCACATTCGGTGACCTTCGTACGCGAAAGGTTACAGCTTCTTAGATGGTTCTTTACTTGGTCAACGCACTTATTTAGTAGAAAAAAATGTCTTTACCGCGTGAGGAACCACAAGTAATATTTGCTATCCCTGCAAAGGAACGCTTCGCAGGTGCATGTGCCATTTTGGTTATTTGCCAGTAGCGTAAACTGCGATTTAGGTGGTCAGTGGGCCATGGACCGCTTTGGGTAGGTACTTCATATATGATTCCTATAGTGTACCGATATATAGATTCTTAAACTGCACTCTTTCTTCTTCTAGTGTACCGAGGTACTTGGCCTACTTAGGTGCTTGGCCTAGTTAGATGTCTTGGCTTGCTTGGCTTACTTGGCTTACTTAAATGTCTTGGCTTACTTAGGTACTTGGCTTGCTTCAGTATCTTGGCCTACTTGAGTGTCTTGGATTACTTGAGTGCCTTGGCCTACTTCAGTAACTTGGCGTGCTTGAGGTACTTGGCTTACTTTTGTGTCTTGGCCTACTTCAGTTACTTGGCCTGCTTGAGTGTCTTGGCTTACTTTTGTGTCTTAGCCTACTTCAGTAACTTGGCGTGCTTGAGGTACTTGGCTTAAATGTGTGTCTTGGCCTACTTCAGTTACTTGGCGTGCTTGAGTGTCTTGGCTTACTTTTGTGTCTTGGCCTACTTCAGTTACTTGGCGTGATTGAGGTACTTGGCTTACTTTTGTGTCTTGGCCCACTTCAGTTACTTGGCGTGCTTGAGTGTCTTGGCTTACTTTTGTGTCTTGGCCTACTTCAGTTACTTGGCGTATTTGAGTGTCTTGGCTTACTTTTGTGTCTTGGCCTACTTCAGTTACTTGGCGTGCTTGAGTGTCTTGGCCTACTTCAGTTACTTGGCGTACTTGAATGTCTTGGCCTACTTCAGTTACTTGGCCTGCTTGAGGTACTTGGCTTACTTTTGTGTCTTGGCCTACTTCAGTTACTTGGCGTGCTTGAGTGTCTTGGCTTACTTTTGTGTCTTGGCCTACTTCAGTAACTTGGCGTACTTGAATGTCTTGGCCTACTTCAGTTACTTGGCGTGCTTGAGGTACTTGGCTTACTTTTGTGTCTTAGCCTACTTCAGTTACTTGGCGTACTTGAATGTCTTGGCCTACTTCAGTTACTTGGCGTACTTGAGTGTCTTGGCCTACTTCAGTTACTTGGCCTGCTTGAGGTACTTGGCTTACTTTTGTGTCTTGGCCTACTTCAGTTACTTGGCGTGCTTGAGTGTCTTGGCTTACTTGTGTGTCTTGGCCTACTTCAGTAACTTGACGTACTTGAATGTCTTGGCCTACTTCAGTTACTTGGCGTGCTTGAGGTACTTGGCTTACTTTTGTGTCTTGGCCCACTTCAGTAACTTGGCGTGCTTGAGTGTCTTGGCTTACTTTTGTGTCTTAGCCTACTTCAGTAACTTGGCGTACTTGAATGTCTTGGCCTACTTCAGTTACTTGGCGTGCTTGAGTGTCTTTGCTTACTTGTGTGTCTTGACCTACTTCAGTTACTTGGCGTGCTTGAGTGTCTTGGCTTACTTTTGTGTCTTAGCCTACTTCAGTAACTTGGTGTGCTTAAGGTACTTGGCTTAAATGTGTGTCTTGGCCTACTTCAGTAACTTCGTATACTTGAGTGTCTTGGCCTACTTCAGTAACTTGGCCTACTTCATTTACTTGGCGTACCCGAGTGTCTTGGCCTACTTTAGTAACTTGGCGTGCTGGAGTGTCTTGGCTTACTTTTGTGTCTTGGCCTACTTCAGTAACTTGGCGTGCTTGAGGTACTTGGTTTACTTAAATGTCTTGGCCTACTTCTGTAACTTGGCGTGCTTAGTGTCTTGGCTTACTTTTGTGTGTTGGCCTACTTCAGTTACTTGGCGTGCTTTAGTGTCTTGGCTTACTTTTGTGTCTTAGCCTACTTCAGTAACTTGGTGTGCTTGAGGTACTTGGCTTAAATGTGTGTCTTGGCCTACTTCAGTAACTTCGTATACTTGAGTGTCTTGGCCTACTTCAGTAACTTGGCCTACTTCATTTACTTGGCGTACCCGAGTGTCTTGGCCTACTTCAGTAACTTAGCGTGCTTGAGGTGCTTGGCGTACTTAAATGTCTTGGCCTACTTCAGTTACTTGGCGTACTTGAGTGTCTTGGCCTACTTTAGTAACTTGGCGTGCTGGAGTGTCTTGGCTTACTTTTGTGTCTTGGCCTACTTCAGTTACTTGGCGTGCTTGAGGTACTTGGTTTACTTAAATGTCTTGGCCTACTTCTGTAACTTGGCGTACTTAAATGTCTTGGCCTACTTCAGTTACTTGGCGTACTTGAGTGTCTTGGCCTACTTTAGTAACTTGGCGTGCTGGAGTGTCTTGGCTTACTTTTGTGTCTTGGCCTACTTCAGTTACTTGGCGTGACTGAGGTACTTGGTTTACTTAAATGTCTTGGCCTACTTCTGTAACTTGGCGTGCTTAGTGTCTTGGCTTACGTTTGTGTGTTGGCCTACTTCAGTTACTTGGCGTGCTTTAGTGTCTTGGCTTACTTTTATATCTTGGCCTACTTCATTAACTTGGCCTGCTAGAGTGTCTTGGCTTACTTTTGTGTCTTGGCCTACTTCAGTTACTTGGCGTGATTGAGGTACTTGGTTTACTTAAATGTCTTGGCCTACTTCTGTAACTTGGCGTGCTTAGTGTCTTGGCTTACGTTTGTGTGTTGGCCTACTTCAGTTACTTGTCGTGCTTTAGTGTCTTGGCTTACTTTTATGTCTTGGCCTACTTCATTAACTTGGCCTGCTAGAGTGTCTTGGCTTACTTTTGTGTTTTGGATTGCTTGGATTGATAGGCACACTGACACATAGAAAGTCAGATACTACTTCTGGGTTATTCAGTCCGGATATTTTGTTTGCATTTTTACCACATGCACACGGCCCGCCGTTACGTCTGCGCGTTTCAATACCGCTTCGTCTAACGAATTTAGTGATGTTTTCATTATTGCAATTGTAGCAGCGACATTTCCTTGAACAAGCTTGACTTTGCTTGTTGCATGGGCATCTCGAAGTAGTACAAGCAATTTTGGAAGGATCTTTAACTTTCTTGCCACAGGTACAACGTGTGCTGAAAAGGTTGCCTTGTACGGAATCATCATTCATTTCTAGTAAATCTGGAAAGAGAGCAAAAGAAAACAAGATGTAAGAACAATAGTTCTCTTCTATAATACTGTTCGAGGTAAATGTTTGCTCTATATTATCGCTCTATGAACAAGAGTTCGCAAATAAAAACGATGAATGGTCATAAATGGCCAAAACAGAAACTGCTTTTCTGTTAGCCAGAGAAATAACCGACATTGAATGAGCTTGGAATTCAGCGTGCTTTTGTGAGTCTTTATGATAAGAACTGACCAAAAGTAACGTTAAAAGAAAGCTTTGAAATCCATTCATAAAAAAGATTAAAAAAAGCATTCAGTCGGAACAAACAGGAAAAAAAACATACTTGTAAAGAAATTTCCCTTTGCGTTTGTTTCATTCTTATTCACGGTACATAATAACTCGAAGTGCCCTGACGCTCAGGGCCCCTTTCCTAGAAAAGGGCCCTGTTTGTTTCAATGCGTCTGAAAATATGGAAATGAGTTGTCCCGTTACACGAATAAAATTTATCAAGCTTCAAGTAAATATATTTGTAATTTGCCTTGTCGTAGAAAACTTACTGTAAATGATCTAATAGACGAGTAGGGCGTTTACTTAGTTTCAAGAGTCAACGAGACTAGAGCGTTTTTAAATTTAATGGATAGAAGGCGTAAAGGGAGGGGCGGTGTTTATTTTCATATTCGTTACAATCTTTGCCCAACTACTGCATAAGTTTTCGGAGAAAATATGAAGGGAGTTTATCATTTGGCTTATAAATAGCATCTTAAATTATTATACTCATTTCTGCTCATTCCTTATAATTTTGGAATAACCATCATTGGGGGGAAGGGACGGGGCGTGATTTAGAAAGGGGAGTGTTTATTTCAGATTGGGCGCCAATTAGATCATTTACAATATTCAGAAAACTTGTTCGCGATTTCTCTGCTCGACAGGGTTTAACATATGTGAATTGTCACTACATACCTCTCGTCCCGTCATAATGCCCTGAACCTGAATGGTCGTACGCCAAGTAAATAGGTGTAACAGTAACGAAATATTTTTGTAGGAACGGAATGGTAGGGACAGTTCACGGTAAGGCTGTGATTAGAACAATTGGGATGCGGAGCAGATTTGCACAGGCCTTTGCACAGATGTCGCCAAGTTCACTAGCAAAATGACGGTCATTTTTAAGAAGTTCAATTTCCTTTGCAAGCGAGTCGCTGGTTGTCCACTCTCTGTACTCATCGATGTTTTCCGTGACTTCACAAACGAAGAGAAACCGTAGGTTCTCGGCGTCTCTTTCCTCATTAATTCCAAGGCCCAAAGAGGAAATATGTTGACGATTCCGAACGCTGTACTAAGTGTTTTTGTAACTGTCGGGCCGTTGCTCTGAAGAAGCAGTTTCCGTCTTCTTTATGGGGTCTACCTTGAGATCATATCCTGAGAGATTTCTTGTCATGTTATCTCTGTGCTGTGTGTTCAAGCTTAATTCTATGCTGTTCAACATTGATTCCTGTTCAAAAAGGTTGGCTGCCGGTACGTTTCTTTGCCATAGTAGGTCAATCAAATCCATTGTTTTGTTTCTACATTTTGTTGTCAAACAGTTAATAAACTCGTGTAAGTGTAACGCTCTCTCTAAAATGTATACCAAGACGGAGTCTTCTTTCAGTTCTTCGACTGATGTAGCTGAGCCAAAAATCGATGATGTCCTTGGCGTTCTACTTGCATGACTGCTATTCTCCAACACAGATCGAAACATTAATTCTGGTAACTTTGTCGTAGATTCAACGGCCGTCATGTGAGACGGAACCCTAACGCATATCTCTTGGTTTGGAGTCTGTGAGCTCTCTAATTCAATTGGCAAGATTGGAATTGTTCTCTTGTTCATTCACGTTTTGGATCTTCGTTTACAATTCCATGCATACAATGAAGGTGCCATCACCGCTACTGCCAACTCAGGTCCGATTTTTGATACTCCGCACAGTAGTGATCTGTTAAGGAGTCTGTGAAGCCGCTCGTTCATCTCGGTTCCACATCCAGCAGGCATTTCTGACAGACACCCTTTTCGTATATGCTTGCGTAAGCTTTTAATTTGGTCAAGAGTTTCCTTTTAAAGTTTACTCTCCAAACAAATAGAAGGCGTTCAAGATTAGACTCTATTTCATCAGGACATGGAGTGCTCTTTGTGCTACCAAGGTCTCCATTTTGACGAAAAATTAGAGAAAATTCATCGGCAAATTGTTTACTAAAATCTTCACTTTTGGGTACCGTTTGTACCACTCTCGTGCAATTAAGCGTGAATTAAGTCTAACCGTACTCGTACCTCTGGAAATGTTTACTCGTACAGGTTTTTCACGTGGCAGCAGTCATCAACAATAATCATTTCCAAGTTAGTCGAAAGTTAGTGTCCGACCTTTCGAATTTGTTTTTCAATTCTTTAAGGGCGTCTATGATTTCCGAAGCAGCTGTGGTCTTCGTAAACTTGCACGTCAAAACCTGTCCGTTTTCATTTAATCCCAAGAAGACGTTTTGAAATTGGTTAACAAACCTGTCGTCCTCTCGAGTTAGTCCGATATGTTTACTCGCTGTAAAGGTGTGGTCCCATGAAAGTATTTTCCCAGCCTGTTTGAGCATGCTATTCTCGTAGAGACTTTTATGCCGTTCAAACTGCATGAGGAACAAATCAATTAGCTTATCGTTGCTTGGATAATAATTGAAAGGGCGTTTTCAAGGTCTCTTATTGTTAACTCATTGCCGCCCCGGCTATTGCGCATATACTCTCTTTAGTTCAGCGATGCGATGCCTTCAAATAATTCCATTAAATTTTGTCCTTGATAAATGCCAGTAATTAAATAGTGATAAAGACGTAGAGTAAAGCCACTCCTTTGTTGCATGATGAAGGGAAATTTCTCCCGTACGCTTTCAGGGAGAGAACTAAGACATCGTTCGATGCAGACAAATACCGATGTCCAGTCATTACATTTTCTGGTAAATGGCTAAAAAACGCTCTAACACAGGTCAAAGCAATGGAATGAGAATATTCTAATCTTCCTTTGTATAAAAATTCGGATTGAACCCAGGAGAAGTAACTGTGTTTTTAAATGCCAGTGTGCCACTACATTCTTGAACCTCTCCCCAGTATCACTTCATCCCCAAACGGAAATAATGGGGGTGAAAAGGACTCGTTTGTCAAATATCCAACCATCTTGAGTTAACTGTTGGTAATTACAAACAACTAATATTCTTGAAATTAAAATTAGTGTCTTATAAATGACTGGCTCGATTCCAAGTAACTTAGTAAGACAAGTATCTCGAGCACTCCAAATCACTTAACCAACTGAAGCACGCGAAAAAAGCAAGCAAATCACTTAAGAATCGCAAAAGTTGCGTCTATAACTGAGACGATATTCTTTCATATAAATCAAATCACTCAAGTTACCCAAGGAAGTCAAACATGCAAAGCGCTACGAACAATTAAATTAAATTAAATTAAACTGAAGTACACCAGGCCAGTAAATCAATACACTGAGGTAACTCGAAACTGCCAAGAAACCAGTCTAAAATATAGCAAGCCAAGCAACTCATGTAGTTCAAGAAACTTAAGCCAAGTACCTCAAACACGCCAAGTAACTGAAGTTAAGGCCAAGACACAAAAGTAAGCCAGGACACTCAAGCAACCCAAGACACAAAAGTAATTCAAGTACCCTAGAGTACGCCAACTAACTGAAGTAAGCCAAGATACTCAATCAACCCAAGACAGACAAGTAAGCCAAGTACCTCCATCACGCCAAGTAACTGAAGTAGGCCAAGACACAAAAGTAAGCAAAGACAGTCAAGCACGCCAAGTAACTGAAGTAGGCCAAGACATTTAAGTAAGCCAGGACGCTCAAGTAATTGAAGTAGGCCAAGATACTCAAGCAATCCAAGACAAACAAGTAGCCTAGCCAAGTAAGCCAAGTACCTCAACCACGTCAAACAACTGAAGTAGGCCAAGACACTCAAGTACGTCAAGTAACTGAAGCAGGCCAAGACACTCAGGCACGCCAAGTAAGGCACAAAAGTAAGCCAAGTACCTCAAGCACGCCAAGTTACTGGAGTAGGCCAAGACACAAAAGTAGGCCAAGACACTCAAGCACGCTAAGTTACTGAAGTAGGCCAAGACACAAAAGTAAGCAAAGTACCTCAAGCACGCCAAGTTAAAGAAGTGGGTTAAGACACTCAAGCACGCCAAGTAACTGAATTAAGCCAAGACACAAAAGTAAGCCAAGTACCTCAAGTACGCCAAGTTACTGAAGTAGGCCAAGACACAAAAGTAGGCCAAGACACTCAAGCACGCCAAGTTACTGAAGTAGGCCAAGACCCTCAAGCACGCCAAGTTACTGAAGTAGGCCAAGACCCTCAAGTACGTCAACTTACTAGAGTAGGCCACGAGATTTAAGTAAGCCAAGTACCTCAAGCACGCCAAGTTTCTGAAGTAGGCCAAGACACTCAAGTACGCCAAGTGACTGAAGTCGGCCAAGACACTCAAGCACGCCAAGTTACTGAAGTAAGCCAAGACACTCAAGTAGGCAAGTTACTGAAGTAGGCCAAGACACTCAAGTACGCCAAGTTACTGAAGTAGGCCAAGACACTCAAGGACGCCAAGTTACTGAAGTAGGCAAAGACACTCAAGTACGCAAGTTACTGAAGTAGGCCAAGACACTCAAGTACGCCAAGTTACTGAAGTAGGCCAAGACACTCAAGTACGCCAGCTTACTGGAGTAGGACAAGAGATTTAAGTAAGCCAATTACCTCAAGCACGCCACGTTCCTGAAGTAGGCCAAGACACTCAAGCGCGCCAAGTTACTGAAGTA